ATTTGGGCTTCTGAGGATTTGAGGATTTCGCAGTTCTGAGGATTTTGAAGTTCTGAGGATTTGAGGATTATGGAGTTCTGAAGGTTTGAGTATCAGGAAGTTCTAAAAGATTTGAGGATTATAGTGTTCTGGGGATTTGAGGATTATGGTGTTCTAAGAATTGTGACGATTATGGAGTTCTGACGATTGGAGAATTTCGCTTTTCTGACGAGTTAAGGATTATATGAGTTCTGAGGATTTGAGGATTCCGCTGTTCTGAGGGATTGAGGATTTTGATGTTCTGAGGAATTGAGTATTTTGCTATTCTGATAATTTGAGAATTTTGTTGTTCGGAGGATTTGAAGATTTCATTGTTTTGAGGAATTGAATATTTTGGTGTTCTGAGGATTTGAGCATTGTAGAGTTCTGAGGATTTGAGGATTTCGCTGTGCTGAGAATTTGAGAATTTTAGTGTTCTGAAGATTTGAGGCTTTTGGAGTTGAGTATTTGAGGATTTTGAGGTTCTGATAATTTGAGGATTATGGAGTTCTGAGAATTTGGTGATTATGTATTTCTGAGGTTTTGAGGATTTTGGTGTTCTGAGAATTTGACAATTATGGAGTTCTGAGGATATGAGGAGTTCGTTGTTATGAGGATTTGAAGATTTTGGTGTTCTGGGAATTTGAGGATTATGGAGTTCTTCAGATTTGAGGATTATGGAGTTCTGAGAATTTGAGGATAATGGAGTTCTGAGAAGTTGAGGATTTTTGGTGTTCTGACGATTTGAAGGTTTTGGTGTTCTGAGGATTTGTGGATTATGGAGTTCTGAGGATATGAGGAGTTCGTTATTATGAGGATTTGAAGATTTTGGTGTTCTGAGAATTTGAGGATTATGTAGTTTATGTAGTTCTTTGGATTTGAGGATTATGGAGTTCTGAGAATTTGAGGATAATGGAGTTTTGAGAAGTTGAGGATTTTTGGTGTTCTGACGATTTGAAGGTTTTGGTGTTCTGAGGATTTTTGGATTATGGCGTGCCGAAGATTTGAGAATTATGGTATTCTGAGGATCTGAGGATTGTGGAGTTATGAGGATTTGGGGTTTATAGTGTTTTGATGATTTGAAAATTGTGGTGTTTTGAAGATTCGTGGATTAATGTAATTTGGGACTTTGAGGATTATGGTTGTCTGAAAATTTAGGCATTATGGTGTTGTGGAGATCTGAGAATCATGATGTTCTGAAGATATGAGGTTTATGGAGTTCTGAGCATTTGGTAATGCTAACTTTACAACGCTTTCGGAAAGTATCAAACAATACATATTCATTGTGACTAGATGAAATTTTAAATTTTTTGTGCGAAACTTTTTTAGACTTAATTAATTTAAACAGCGTTAGTGAACCAATTGGAATACATATGTGGATGATTTTTTACACTTAAGGGTAGCATAATATAAATGAGAATAAAATTTGGAAACCGCTTCTTCAATATTTGGACTATTTAAAACTTCAAGGCAATTAACATTAACTAATTTAGTTTCCCTTACAATTAGAATTTTAATTATATTGATAATAGTTAAGACTAGAGTAGCCATCAAAGAGAGAAGTCTCTAGACCCTTTGATCTTCTGCCATGAAAAACTGGACAAATTAAAATCACGTTAAGCAACAATGTGACAATCTGTTTCACTGATCAACTCTGAGGAACTTCTTTCTCTTATTATTGTTACTTAAAGCTGGGCTGACCTGACTTGACATGATTTTGACTTACTCTCTATTAATCGCCATTTGGATTTAAGGAGACTTGAAGTGGAAATAAATACTGAAGTGATTTGTGACCGTGAAATAAATGTTCTTGGGTGTTTTGACACAATTATCGCTTGTATCTAAGCGTTTAGATTCTTAATTAGAAATGCCAGATTTTATTAAGTCATTTAAGTCTTCCAAACTTATTCAAATGTCGCTCATAATTCTAGCAGAAGTTTTTTGTGCCTCAGGTAACAATGATTTTTTTCTTATTAATTTTCTTCCTTCCGTTTTTTTTTGTTGCTTATTAATTGGATACGCTCCGTCAGGCAGTCTAATTAATAATAAAAATAGTAAGACAATAATAATACTAATAATATTCAGTTCTTTCGGGGCTGCACTTCTAATTAAAACCTACTAACAAATAATACCCACCTGCTGACCCTTACTAAACAACCACCATTTTTCCCTTCCAAAACACCAGCACCCCAAACTCCAACAATTACAAAAACCTAGCTAATTTCTTAACCTTGACAGGCTTTTGCACTGTCGCTGTTTTTGGCGCAGCTTAATGAGATCGTCTTTTTTATAAAATATGCAGACTAATGCAACGTGCCAAATATTCTCACAGTTGAATAGTTTCCATTGCGAAACTCGGATTCAATCTATTTAGGAGTCACTAGGTCAAAAGTCGCCAACACAATTAAAGATAACCGAATTTCCGGCGCGAGTGAAAGCGGCAGTGGGTTTTAGTTCCTATTTTTCAAACCTTCCGTCCTTTCCCTTCATAGGAAGGCAACAATGTTGCGACCTTTATTTTTATGCGGCGACCTAAAGGTCAACATTCGCAACACCACTTTCGGTTAAGTAATAATTCAAGCATCCGAAGATGCTCTTTATCAAATGTGAACTGATGTTATTCTTTTTTTGCGTTGGCATTAAAAGAACCGAGATTTATTGTGTGAGCTAATTTTTGTCTGTTTTTTGTTTGCTAGTTCGCAGTTTGTAGAATACGAAAATGCCTAGATCGTTTCAAGTAGTAACTACTCTGACCCAAAGCAAGATTACATTGTATTATTTGACTTAAATCTCTTCCCACTTTCACCAAAACCATAAAACAGCGACATCTCACCTTTAATTATTCCATTATGATTTCTGCGGTATTGCACCATCCAAAACCATTCAGTTCTTGAGAGGCTGTGACAAGCTTACCCACTTTACGTAATCCATTTTAGCGACGAATGCATTAAGCTACAGGGTAGAATCTCGTCAAGGTCACTGAAATTTCGCCACTTTTTTTTAATAAGTCGTTTTGCGTGAATTGCTAATGGTTTTGGCATTTGGTAAGAAAAACACTGCTTTGTATTCATAATTAACAAAACTTTGCCAATCGGTGGCGCAACGGGTAGGTATTATTTGAATAATTAGTCACGGATTTAGTTTTTTTTTAATTAAGTGGCCAAGTTGACATTAGGAGTGACATTGACTCGAGAACTAATCAAAATGGGTAAAGTGTGTATTAAGACTGACTGTCGCATGGATGAACACCGACAACTGATGAGAATTATCGGGTTGAGTGTGTGCGACCGACCTTTTCTAAGGCTCGGATTATATGCATCAAAATATCGAAGAAATAGGTGAATTATACAGGGTGTTTATTTTATCTGTTCACGCCTGAATATTTTTTTATTTTATTTTTAAATAATAATGAACGCATAGATAGCAGTGATCGTTTGCTTTAAAATGTTTTCGAGTTACATGACAATGTGCAGACCGGTCTCGATGACCTCGAGACCGACACCGACACCGACACCGACACCGAGCTCGTAGCTCGAACTGGACATCCCATTCCGGCGCGCGTCGTATACGTGTTCTATATTACGACAAGAAAGGAGTTAAAACTCCAAAACGAATTTTCGATTTCCGATTCTTATTAGATATTTTCAATTAGTTTAATTTTCGGTTTCCATTGAAGAAGCTAAATATTGAGAAATTCAAAAAACTAAAATATCGAAAAATTAAAAATCAAGTTATCGAGTGAAGTCGAAAAGTTGGTAAACTAAAATCGAGAAAAATTTTAAAATAAAAAAATTAGAAAAACCGTAAAACTCAGTGCAACATTGGAAAATTGAGAAATCAGAAAATTGAAAAATTGCAACACTGAAATATCGAAAAAAAAATAGAAAAATTGAGAAACAAAAATTCAAAACTTAAAAAATCAAAAAATTGAAAAATCGAGAAATTGGAACATTCCAAAACTGAAATGACGAAGAATTGGGAAATCAGAAAACGAGAAATTGAAAAATTGGAAGGTCGAAAAATTTGAAACTGAATCGATCAAAATCGAAGGGTTACAAATTGAAAGTTTTAAAATTAAAAAACCTCGAAAAATTGAAAACGGGGGAAATCGAACATTCAAAAATTCGAAAGATCGAAATCTGTATAAATCGAGAAATTTAAAAATTTAATAAAGAAAAAATCGAAAATATAAAAATTCCAAAAATTGAAAAATAAAAACATCGAAGATCTGGAAAATCGCAAAATTGAGACATCGAGAAATCTAAAGTTTCAAAATTGAAAAATGAAAAAAAACGAAAAATTGAGAAATCAAATATTTAGAAAGGCGGAAAAGTAAGAAACCGACAAATTCCATTCTTCGTTTTTCGATTTTCGGTACTCTAATTTTTAATCTTTCTACTTCTAGATTTTCAATTTCTGTTTTTACAATTTTTCAAGAAAATGGAATTTCAATATAAGTAGACTGTGAAATTACGCGATGAACATAGGTATATAATTTCTTGCCCATTCGATCAATATATAGCTTATCCTGCACCCAAAAATGAAAAAAATATTAAATCTGAATCCGGGTAACACCCGAGTACCAAAAAATTGAAAACGTCACCACCAAAATGTTTAGGTAGGTATTTATTGCAGTTTCTACAATAATTTGAAGAGAGCAAACATAATTCACTGTTTTAGAATGAATAAATTTGCTAAATGTCTAATTTCACATTTTTTCGACTGTTCATAACCCCTAGAGTATGGAAAAGTAGGTCCCCGTTTCCATCTGATTGTTGTCTGTGTATTGGCGGATATACTTTATTTTATGAGTCATCAACTCATCAATTATAGACTATAGATATGAATGAATTTATATATTGTTGTCAGGTTGGGTTATGTAACGTCGATAAATCATAAATGCGATGTACCCTTTGATACTATCGATCACACAATCTTATCTTGTTTCGACAAGATTAATTTAGGTGACATAAAAAAACTCCTTATTCAACTAAGTACACAGCAACACCCATTTGCATGATGTTCTTTAATAAAATTAACTACTACATCCTGTTTCGTCTGATCTGCAATCCACAACGGCGTCTGTCCGCTCTGGTTGGCCCCCAACCCATCAACTTCTCTCTGGACAAGAACCTTCATCAAATCAAATTCGCGTATTGCTATCGCAAAATGCAGAAGATTATTTCCTGCAAGATCTAGAACCTTGACATCTGCACCACTCTCAATCAAAACTTTAGCACTTTGCACATTTCCAGTCATTAAAGCTGCCATTAGTGGAGTATACTCATAACGGGTATCCACAGTGTCTAGTCTTGCTTTTTTCTCAACTAGGTACTTAACAACAGCACTACTATCTTTTTTTTACACCTGTAGCCATGTACAGAGGTGTCACTCTATTGAGGTCAGGTACATTCAGCGCCATTTGTCACCAAAGCTTTGACAACATCTAGATGGCCGTTGGTCGAAGCTCTATGCAATGCTGTAACACCCTCTGGTGTCGTCGAGTTAAAATCGGCACCATTTTTGATTAGGAACTCAACAAGGAGTAAACAGCCTGAGGTTGATGCTACATGGAGTGGTGAAAGCCCGTTTTCGTTACGTGAATTGGGGTCGAACCTGAAACTGAGTAAGTGTTTGACGATATCTAAACATCTAGAGCGAGCCGCTACCAAAAGATGCCCCACGTTTGGTTTCGAGTTGTCAATATCAATTTAACTAATTCGACGTTTTTATTTAGTATGGACACCTCTATGACGATTTCGTTGACAAGGGCGCCTTTTTCCATCAAGAATTTCGTCATCGATATGTTGTTTCTCGCAACCACGTGCGCCAGCGTTGTCAAGCCGCGTTTATTGACACTATTTACATCGACATTTTTCTCAACCAGGTACTTGACAATGCCGAAGTGTTCCTCGGATGCTGCCGCAATGACAGGTGTGTCTCCTTGATCATCGGCTGTGTCAACGCTCGCCCCTCGTTCTACCAAGAACTTGACAACTTCGAAGTGACCGTTTTGGGCAGCTAGGAACACCGGTGACACTAGATCTTGACTAAGAACGTCAATGTTGACATTTTTCGCTACGAAAAACCTAACGACATCTAAATGACCGTTTTGGGCCACCAGGTGGAGTGGCGTTAACCCATTGTCATTACTCCTGCGGATATTGCCGTCTGCCAGGTGTTCGACAACGGCAATATGTCCCTTGAAAGCGGCGTTATGGATACGTCCATCACCAACTCGATTTTTGACGTTGACGCCACAGTTATTGTCAAGCAGAATTTTGACAATTTCCAGATTTCCTTGAGTGCGGCTTCATGAATCTGGGTTATTCCTTGAGAGTCGGCGATATTGACATCGGCACCGTTTTTTGCCAAGTGGTCGACGATGCGGTGGTGGTTTCCGGAAACTGCGGCAAATAAAGATATCACGCTTTCTGAGTCGGCTATGGTGACGTCGGCGTTAATGTCAAAGAGGTATTTGACTACTTCTATGTGTCCTTCAAGGGCGGCTTCACATATTGTGGTTCTTCGGCTTCGATTGACAAGATTGACATCGGATTTGTTTTCTACCAGGAACTTGACTAGCTTGAGACGGTCGATTTTCTTGTTTAGGACTGCGGCGTGGAGGAGAGAATTGTCGTGGTCGTTGACGGAATTGATGTCTCCGTTGGTTTTGAGCAAATCTTGGACTGCTGGAATCTCACCATAGAGCGCAAACTCCCAAATCGTCTAAAAATGAAAAATACAGACAATGGGTGTATGTTTTCAGATCTTCTATGTTTACCTTCGGATTCTACATTTTGTACTGCCACTGATACATGTATTATTTCTCTCGACCATCTGGTTTTTGTTATTAGATAAGCGCTGATAACTGATTTTTGCCAAAAATGATAAGAGCGTCATTTGTTTTACAACTGCACTTATTCGTCAACGTGGAATGTTTTGCTTTTACTGATATCAGATTGCCAAAATAACTACTTAATTACGTAGATATGAGCGTCACATTATTAAAATGTTTTCGTCGACGAGAAGGAGAAGGAAATCAGATAAGATATTTTTTGTCATTTTGATTTTATCTTTGTTATTTTAAATTTGTTTTGCAAGAGGCGTCTACGTCAGTAAATTAGTCATTTCCTTTTTTCTCCTCATGTGTATTTTTGATTTTTCGAATTTTCCATTTTTCAGTTAGTCTATTCTTCAGTTTTTAGATTTTTGTTTACTTTTCGATTTTTCGATATTCAAATTTTTAATTTTCTAGTTTTCGATTCTCAATTTTTCTATTCTTGAATTTTTCGATTTTGCAATTTTTTCACATTTTCCGGGTTTCAATTCTTGTATTCTTCGGTTTTTCAATTTTTCAATTTTTTTACTTTTCGGATTTTCCAATTTTTAAAATTTCTGGTTTTGTAATTTTCGATTTCTCCAATATTTGATTAATCGAATTTTTGATTTATCGATTTTCGATTTTGATATTTCGAATTTTCGGTTTTTCAAATTTTCGACTTTCGGATTTTAGAATTTTCCATTATTCGACTTTTGATATTTCGTTTCTTTTGTAAGTATTTCGTTTATGCGTTTTTTTCGGATTTTCGATTTTCGAATACATATTTGATTTTTCAATATTTAAATTTTCTATTTTTTAATTTTTTGATTTTCATTGAAGAATCGAAATATCGAAAAATACCAAAATTGAAATATCCAGAGATTGAAAAATCAAGAAATTGAAAAATCGCAACATTGAAAATCTAAAAATTCAAAAAACTGAAAAATCGAAACATTGAAAAGTCGAGACATCCGGAAGTGGAAAAATCAAAAAATCGTTTAATCGAGAAATTGAAAAATCGGAAACTTGAAAATTTTGAAAATTAAAAAATTTAAAATTTAAAAACCCGAAAAATATAAAAATAGGAAGTTTGGAAAATCGTAAAACTGAAACATTGGAAAAATCGAGAAATCAAAATCCAAAATTTAAAAATTCGAAAATGTATTTCCCAGAATTTTTTTAAGATGTTTTGGTAAATTTTTGAATATAAATTTTCCGATGAGTTTTTCAATTTTTGGTTTGTCGAATATTTGATTAATCGAATTTTCGATTATTCGACTTTCGATATTTCGTTTTTTCGTAGGTATTTCGTTTATGCTTTTTTTTTAATTTTTCGAATTTTGGATTTTTCGGTTCTGTGACTTGCGTTTATTAAATTTTCGAATTTTCGGTTTTCCGATTTTTCGGATTTTCGATTTTCGATTATTTGATTTTTCTATATTCGAATTTTCCAATTTTTTTTACTTTCCGATTTTCTTTGTAGAACCGAAATATTGAAAAATACCAAATTTGAAATATAGAGAAATTAAAAAATCAAGAAATCGAAAAGTCGCAAAATTGAAAATTTTTAAATTCAAAAAACCGAAAAATCGAAACATTGAGTAGTTGAGGCATCGAGAAATGGAAAAACAAAAAAAATCGTTTAATCGAGAAATTGAGAAATCGAAAAACTGAAAATTTAGGAACGTCAAAAATTTAAGAATTATAAACTCGAAAAACATAAAAATAGTAAATTTGAAAAATCGTAAAACTGGAACATTGGAAAATTGGGAAATCGAAAAATTGAAAAATCCCAACACCGAAATATTGAAAAATAGAAAAACCGATAAATCAAAATCCAAAATTTAAAAAATCGAAAATATATTTCCCAGAAAGTTTGAAGATTTTTGGATAAATTTTTCATAAATCTCATTTTTCAATATGCATTTTCCGATGAGTTTTTTCAATTTCCGGTTTTTTGAATATTTGATTCAACGAATTTTTGATTTTTCGACTTTCGATTTTGATATTTCGAATTTTTTCATTTTTCAAATTTCCGGTTTTCGAAGTTTGGAATTTTTGATTTTTCCATTTGCGACTTTCGGATTTTAGAATTTTCGATTATTCGACTTTGGATATTTCGTTTCTTTGTAGGTATTTCGTTTATTGTTTTTTTTTCGGTTTTTCGAATTTCTGATATTTCGGTTCTTCGATTTGAGTTTATTAAATTTTCGAATTTTCCGTTTTCCGATTTTTCGGATTTTCGATTTTCGAATACATATTTAATTTTTCTATATTTGAATTTTACATTTTTCAATTTTTCGATTTTCATTTAAGAATCGAAATATCGAAAAATACCAAAATTGAGATATCGAGAGATTGAAAAATCAAAAAATCGAAAAGTCGCAACATTGAAAATTAGAAATTCAAAAAACTGAAAAATCGAAACATTGAAAAGTCGAGACATCGACAAATGGAAAAATCAAAAAATCGTTTAATCGAAAAATTGAAAAATCGAAAAATTGAAAATTTAGAAACATCAAAAATTTAAAAATTAAAAACCGGAAAAATATAAAAATGGGAAATTTGAAAAATCGTAAAACTGGAACACTGGAAAACTGCGAAATCGGAAAATTGAAAAATCCCAACAATGAAACATCGAAAAATAGAAAAATCGAGAAATTAAAATTCAAAATTTAAAAAATCGAAAATGTATATAATTCCAAGAAAGTTTGAGGATTTTTTGATAAATCTCATTTTTCAATATGCAATTTCGGATGAGTTTTTCAATTTCCGGATTTTCGAATATTTGATTCAACGAATTTTTGATTTTTCGACTTTCGATTTTGATATTTCGAATTTTCTCATTTTTCAAATTTTCAGTTTTCGAAATTTGGAATTTTTGATTTTTCCATTTGCGACTTTCGAATTTTAGAATTTTCGATTATTCGCCTTTCGAAATTTCGTTTATGGGTGCTTTGATTTTTCGAATTTTTGCATTTTCGATTCTTCGAATACATATTTGATCTTTCTATATTCGAATTTTCTATTTTTCAATTTTTCGATTTTCATTGAGGAATCGAAATATCGAAAAATACCAAAATTGAAATATTTAGAGATTGAAAAATCGCAACACTGAAAATTCAAAAATTCAAAAAACTGAAAAATCGAAACATTGAAAGGTCGAGACATCGAAAAATGGAAATATCAAAAAATCGTTTAATCGAGAAATTGTGAAATCGGAAAATTGAATATATAGAAACATCAAAAATTTAAAAATTAAAAACTCGAAAAATGTGAAAATAGATAATTTGAAAAATCGTAAAACTGGAACATCCGAAAATTTTTTCAATTTGTTTACTCTTTTATCTAGTTCAAGTTTAGTAAGATTTATATTTTTAATGTTTTTTTTTTCTCTGAATACTTTTGTTTATGTTATTTGTTTCCACAATAGACTAATTGTCTGTTGGAATAAAGCTCTATTTATTTATTTATTTATTTATTTATTTAAATTGGGATATTGAAAAATTCAAAAATCCCAACATTGAAATATTGAAAAATAGAAAAATTAAAATCAAAAATTTAAATATTCGAAAATATATCTCCCAGAATTTTTTAAAGATTTTTTGGTTAATTTTTCACAAATCTCAGTTGTTGAATATGAATTTTCGGATGAGTTTTTCAATATTTGATTTTTCGACTTTCGATTTCTATATTTCGATTTTCGGTCTTTCAAATTTTCAGTTTTCGAAATTTGGAATTTTCGATTTTTCCATTTTCGACTTTCGGATTTTAGAATTTTTTATTATTCGACTTTCGATATTTTGTTTCTTTTGTAGGTATTTCGTTTATTGGTATTTTCGATTTCTCGAATTTTTGATTTTTCGATTCGACTTGCGATTATTAAATGTTCTAATTTTCGGTATTCCGATTTTTCGGATTTTCGATTTTTAAATTTTTCGATTTTCATTGAAGAATCGAAATATCGAAAAGTACCAAAATTGAAATATCGAGAAATTGAAAAATGAGAAAATAGAAAAGTCGCAAAATTGAAAATTTAAAAATTAAAAAAACTGAAAAATCGAAAGAATGAAAGTCGAGACACCGAGATATGGAAAATTCAGAAAATCGTTTAATCGAGAAATTGAGAAATCGAAACATTGAAAATTTAGAAACATCAAAAATTTAAGAATCAAAAACTCGAAAAATTCGAATTTTCTATTTTTTAATTTTTCGATTTTCATTGAAAAATCGAAATATCGGAAAGTACCAAAATTGAAATATCGAGAGATTGAGAAATCAAAAAATAGAAAAGTCGCAAAATTGAAAATTTATAAATTCAAAAAACTGAAAAATCGAAACATTGAGTAATCGAGACATCGAGAAATGGAAAAATCAAAAAATCGTTTAATAGAGAAATTGAAAAATCGAAAAATTGAAACTTTACAAACATCAAAAATTTAACAATTATATATAAACTCGAAAAATATAAAAATAGGAAATTTGGAAAATCGTAAAACTGAAACACTGGAAAATTGAGAAATCGAAAAATTGAAAAATTCCAACACTGAAACATCGAAAAATAGAGAAATCGAGAAATCAAAATCCAAAACTTAAAAAATCGAAAATGTATTTCCCAGAAATTTTGAAGATTTTTTGATAAATTTTTCAAAAATCTCATTTTTCAATATACATTTTCGCATGAGTTTTTTCAATTTTCTGTTTGTCGAATATTTGATTCATCGAATTTTTGATATTTCGATTTTTCAAATTTTGAGTTTTCGAAATTTGGAAAATCCGATTTTCACATTTTCGACTTTCGAATTTTAGAATTTTCGATTATTCGACTTTCGATATTTCGTTTCTTCTGTAGGTATTTCGTTTACTGTTTTTTTTCGGTTTTTCGAATTTTTGATCTTTCGTTTGTTCGATTTGCGACTATTAAATTTTCGAATTTTCGTTTTTCCGAGTTTTTGGATTTTCGATTTTCGAATATTAATTTTTCTGTATTCGAATTTTCAATTTTTTTAGTTTCCGATTTTCATTGAAGGATCGAAATATTGAAAAATACTAATATATCGAGGAATTGAAAAGTCGCAAAATTGAAAATTTGAATATTCAAAAAATTGAAAAATCGTTATATTGAAAAGTCGAGACATCGACAAATAAAAAAATCAAAAAATCGTTTATTCAAGAAATATTGAAAAATCGAAAAATGTAAAAATAGGAAATTTGAAAAATCCTAAAACTGGAACACTGTCAAACTATCGAAAAATAGAAAAATCGAGAAATCAAAATCCAAAATTTCAAAATTGAAAATGTATTTTCCAATATTCTTGTCAATTTTTCAAAAATTCTAATGTTTCAGTATGAATTTTTTTGCAATTCTACAAGCACACTTGGAAACTCACCAAAGACACTTGCAGATTTCGAATTGAAGAAGTTTTTTTTTGCTTTTTATTTTTTCGAAAATTTCAAAAATTTATCCAGAATCCAAAAAATGAAAAATTTCGATTTTCAAACCGAATTTTTCGAAAATCTTGGATGATTTTCGAGTAAGGTGAGACATGTTCTCATATAATTCGAGTTCTAGAAACCGTTTTCGAAAACCTAAAACACCAAATTAACCAAATTTCATTTTCTTTTAATCGCTAATGTTCGTGCTAGTAGTCGAATTCGGTTGAAGTATAAACATAAACAGTCGAAGTTAAGCATGTTTTGAGAAATTGAGAATGTCTATTTTTGTCCCGTTAGTTATCTACTTTATCTTTGAAGACGCATTATATTACATTATGCTTCAAGGGCGAGGTAAGTTCTGTCAAAAAAAATCCTGTTTGTTTTATTCGCAGTTTTATCTCCCCTCTGGCACAATTTTTCCACGGCCTGACAATGCAATTCCCGGATAATGAATGAACGTTCTCATTCCGATGCAACAATTAGTAAAAGTTGCGCTATAATAATTCATAATTCAATTCAACACACGTGAGATAGAAAAATTCACACAACACCCGGATAATTCCGTTACATAACCGCCAATCAGTGTCCACGCCGTTCTAATAATAATAATTGTAAACATAATAATAACAAATTTATTGAGTCAGTTTCGTATCTCGAGAAACAATAATTGTCGCTACGTTTTTAAACGTTATCGATCTACGTCAAACGCTAATAAAGCGACCGAGTGCAGTAAATGTCAATCAGTTGGAAAAATGCTAAAAATGCTTTATGTAACAGTCAGACGACAGGTGGTTGACGGTAATTGTTTTGTTTCCTGTTTGATCGTTGTGTGGACTATTTTTCAGACTGAAAAACAATGGATGGGACTGAAGCGAGAGCATTAGAACATTATCTTATTGTGTGTTGGTATTATGCAACCCGAGATTAGAGTTTGTGTAGTTAACCTTCTGGTTGGTACCGACAGCAAAAAACCCATGAGTATACCAAGAAATAGAAAAGTTGGACAAATTTCCGAAAACTTTGTTATATCGGATATATTAAAATAAACGTGTGTCGAAATTTAAGAAGCAGACTTTCACGACTAAATAAATGCAAGACGTTCGAAAAATATATGGGATGCTGTAATGTTTAAAAGTATAAATATTTATTGAATTCGTAACACCTTTCTTGAGTGAAACATTCACTGTTTTCGCTTTTGAGGTCAACGTGTGTCTGAATAGTAACTCCGTCTACGTCTGGTCTTTTTTATGATTACTTCCGGAGCGTCAATCGGGGGATTTGCCACTTTCATGTTTTCTCGACGTTTCATGACCTCTAGAGTACGAAATGTGCGAAATTTAGGAAACCTATATTTACCTGTAATGGGTTGTTTCTATTCTCGTTGCCCTGACATCTTACAATTAATTAAATTAATTAGTTTATAATTATACAGTTATTATAAATAATTTGGTACAAGACATATAGTCGTTAAATTTAATTACTAAACTGCGATGTTTGTGTAATTGTAATAGGATCCATTTAAAGAGTAGTTGCTAATTTCGTGTTCTCTACCTTTTGATAACTTTTATCTAAAGTCGTTTAAAAGTAGTTCTAAGCTGATTTTTTTTTTTCAAAAAGTCACCGCTTACTGCTCATGCTGAGTAAAAAATATTTATTCACTGATCGTTATTTACAAGGTGAACATCTATCTTAAGTTAATGCCATTAACACTCCTTAGCTGATTTTTTTCAAAAATTTCACTTAAAATAGCTGTTTTGTTCTGCATGGATTCTTCATCTGCAGTGGGTGGCCTTCAACCACAATGCGTTTTTAACTTAAAATATCTGCTCTAACATCTGGACGAAAGGCGGCAGACGACCTTCTAGAAGAATGTCCGGTGTATTTCTGTAGATTGAACAATCCAAGATCCTTATTTTGAAAAATTTGTCTAAAAGTCCATAAAAATTCTAGGATATAGATCTCGATGTGCTGATTCGAAGACTAATGTTTATGGTCCCAAAATGAGACTTTACAAACATTAGGCTTGAGTGTCAATTTTTTTTTAAACCTAAAAATTAGCATAATTTTGGAGTTCGGAGTATAGAAAAAGTGAGATTTCGAAAAAGTTGGCTAAAAATATTCCAAAAAAGACCATAAATAAAGGAGACAAAAAAGACAACAAAAAAAGAAGATGAAAAAGAGACAAAAATGACAAGAAAAAAAACGTGACAAAAAAGTGAAAAAATGCGAGAAAAAATATTGTCAAAAAATTCGACAAAAAAAATAGGAAGAAAAAAAAAACAAAAAAAAAGGCAACAAGAAAATGGGTGAAAAATAGGCGACGAAAAAGCGATAAAAAGAGGGCGTAAAAAATCCAGGAAAAAAAGAAGAGACAAAGAAAACCTAGAACATTACTATAAAAAAAATATATTTTGGAAATTTCCGCAAATGGCCGAAAAAAGGTCTAAAATTTCATAAAAGGTGCAAGACGATAAAACGATCATAAACAGAGGTGAAGAATAGGCGAAAAAAAGTAAGATAAAACAGGCAATTTGCAATTTTTGATTTTTGCTTTTTCGATTTTGCAATTATTCGTTTTTCAGTTTTTTGATTTTTCAATTTTTTTCAATTTTTGTGTTTTAATTTTTCGATTTTTCGATTTTTCAGTATTTTGTTTCTTCATTTTTTAAAAATTAAAGAAATCGGAAAATCGTATAACCGGAAATCCAAAAATTGCACAATTGAAAATTTTCAAAATTGGAAAACTCAGCGACTGGAAAATCTAAGACTGAAAATTTGAAAAGCTGAATAAAATATAAAATTGAAAGAAACACTGAATAAATAGAGGAAATAAAAAAAACAAAAATTGTGACAAAATCGAGAAAATGAAAATAAAAAATCGGGAAAATTACAAATAAATATCAAGAAAAGTCAAACAATTAAAAGTCGAAGGGTGGAAAAATCGAAAGTCAAAAAACTCAAAAATCCCGAAACTGAAATATCGAAAAATTGAGAACTCGAAATATCGAAATATTCAACAATCGGTTATCAAAAAAATCTCTTTTCTTTTAGATTTTTCAATTATTGGATTTGGTTTTCATTTTGAATATGTAATAATAATTTTAATTTTTAAAATGTGTCACTTTTTCAATTTGACAATTTTAGAATTTCTCCATTTTTCACTAATTTGATTTTAAATCTCTTTTATTTTCTGATTTTTTAATTTTTCTATTTTTAATTTTTCACTTTCTCGATATTTAGTTTTTCAGTCTTTCGATTTTTCAGTGTTACATTTTTAGCATTTACAATTTTGAGGATTCTATAATTTTTGGATGTTATGATAATTGGATTTCCAATTTTTTTATTTGGATTCGATTTTTCGTCTTTTCAGTTTTTCAGTTCATTAATTTTATTCGATTTTATTTTCTCGATTTTTGTTTTTCATGCTTGAATTTTTCGATTTACAATTTTGATTTTCCATTTTTTCGATTTTGCAATTTTTTTTTCAGTTTTTCAATTTTGCAATTTTTTCTGATTTTTGAGTTTTTCGTTTTTAATTTTTCGATTTTTCAGTTTTTTGATTTTCCATCTTTTCAGATCAAAAAAAAATTGAAAAATTACAAAATTGTAAAATTGAAAAAACAAAAATAAAAATACCAAAATGTATAAAATGAAAACTTTGAAAAAAAATTATTTGGGAAATTTTCGAAAATGGCCGAAAAAAGGTCTAAAATTTCATAAAAGGTGAGATTTTGAAGAAGTTTTCAACAACTCTACAAAAAAATTTGAGACAATAAAGACGATAAAAAGATCATAAATAGAGGTGAAGAATAAGCGATAAAAAAGTAAGATAAAAAAAGGCAATTTCCAATTTTTGATTTTCCACTTTTTCGATTTTGCAATTTTTCGTTATTCAGTTTTTCGATTTTTCAATTTTTCCAATTTTTGTGTTTTTAATTTTTTGATTTTTTGATTTTTCAATATTTTGTTTTTCCATTTTTTTAAATTTAAAGAAATCGGAAAATCGTATGACCGAAAATCCAAAAATTGCACTGGAAAATCTAAGACTGAAAATTTGAAAAGCTGAATAAAATATAAAATTGATAGAAACACTGAGTAAATAGACGAAATAAAAAAAAGCAAAAATTGTGACATAAAATCGAGAATATGAAACATAAAAAATCGGGAAAATTACAAATAAATATCAAGAAAAGTCGAACAATTAAAAATTGGGAAAAAATTGAAAATCGAAAATTTGAAGAAACGAAATATCGAAATGTCAAAAACTCAAAAATCCCGACACTGAAATATCGAAAAATTGAGAACTCGAAATATCGAAAAATTCAATAATCGATTATCAAAAAATCTCTTTTTTTTAGATTTTTCAATTTTTTGTTTCTTCAGTTTTTGGATTTGGTTTTCATTTTGAATATGTAATAATAATTTTAATTTTTAAAATGTGTCACTTTTTCAGTTTGACAATTTTAGAATTTGTCCATTTTTCACTTATTGGATTTTAAATTTCTTTCATTTTTCTGATTTTTCAATTTTTCTATTTTTAATTTTTCACTTTCTCGATATTTAGTTTTTCAGTCTTTCGATGTTTCAGTGTTACAGTTTTTCGAATTTACAATTTTGAGGATTTTATAATTTTTGGATTTTATGATAATTGGGTCTCCAATTTTTTTGTTTTGATTCGATTTTTCGTCTTTCCAGTTTTTCGCTTCATTAATTTTATTCGATTTTATTTTCTCGATTTTTAGTTTTTCATGCTTCAATTTTTCGATTTACAATTTTGATTTTCCATTCGATTTTGCAATTTTTTTTCAGTTTTTCAATTTTTCAATTTTTTCCGATTTTTGAGTTTTTCGTTTTTAATTTTTCGATTTTTCAGTTTTTTGATGTTCCGTCTTTTCAGATAAAAAAAAATTGAAAAATTACAAAATTGTAAAATTAAAAAACATAAACAAAAACACAAAAGCAAATAAAATGAAAACTCTGAAAAAAAAAAATTATTTTCGAAATTTTCGAAAATAGCCGAAAAAGTCTAAAATTTCATAAAAGGTGAATATAAAAAATGAGATTTAGAAGCAGTCTGCAGCAACTCTACAAACAAATTTGAGACAAAAAAACGATAAAACGATCATAAACAGAGGTGAAGAATGGGCGATAAAAAAGTGAGATAAAAAAAGGCAATTTGCAATTTTTGATTTTCCACTTTTTCGATTTTGCAATTTTTCGTTTTTCAGTTTTTCGATTTTACAATTTTTTCCAATTTTTGAGATTTTTATTTTTTGATTTTTGATTTTTCAGTATTTTATTTTTCCATTTTTTTTTTTAATTAAAGAAATCGGAAAATCGTATAACCGGAAATCCAAAAATTGCACAATTGAAAAATTTCAAAATTGGAAAACTCAGTGACTGGAAAATCGAAGACTGAAAATTTGAAAAGCTGAATAAACGAAAAAATATAAAATTGAAAGAAACACTGAATAAATAGAGGAAATAAAAAAAACAAAAATTGTGACATAAAATCGAGAAAATGAAAAATAAAAAAATCGGGGAAATTACAAAAAATTATCAAGAAAAGTCGAACAATTAAAAATTTGGAAAAAATTGGAAATCGAAAATTTGAAGAAACGAAATATCGAAATGTCGAAATTAGGGAAACCGAAAAAAAAATCGAAAAGTCAAAAACTCAAAAACCCCGAAACTGAAATATCGAAAAATTGAGAACTCGAAATATCGAAAAATTCAACAAATTTTTATTTGTAACAATTAAAATTTGTTGAATTTTTTGTTACTTTTTCAATTTGACAATTTTCGAATTTCTCTATTTTTCACTTATTGGATTTTAAATTTCGTTCATTTTTCTGATTTTTCAATTTTTCTATTTTTAATTTTTCACTTTCTCGATATTTAGTTTTTCAGTTTTTCGATTTTTCACTGTTACAGTTTTTCGATTTTACAATTTTGAGGATTCTAAAATTTTTGGGTTTTTGTGATAATTGGGTTTCCAATTTGTTTGTTTTGATTCGATTTTTTGTCTTTCCAGTTTTTCGCTTCATTAATTTTATTCGATTTTATTTTCCCGATTTTTAGTTTTTCATGCTTCAATTTTTCGATTTCACAATTTTGATTTTCCATTTTTTCGGCTTTGCATTTTTTTTTCAGTTTTTCAATTTTTTTTCCGATTTTTGAGTTTTTCGTTTTTAATTTTTCGATTTTTCAGTTTTTTGATTTTCCATCTTTTCAGATCAAAAAAAATTGAAAAATTATAAAATTGTAAAATCGAAAAAACAAAAATAAAAA